TACTTTGGGTTAGGTGTAGTTGTAAAGTTCATAATTTCCTATTCTTGGTTGCACTTTCTTTTATGCCTCTATGAGTTGGCTCTGATTTGCAATTGATTATTTATTTTTTCAAGATGAGTTAATTTAGTAATGATTATTCATTAAATGGTTTTTTTCTGAGTAATAGTTTCAATTCCATGTAACACTAGTTACTTGGAAGTTGTAGTTGGTTATTTATAGTTTTTATACTAACTGGCTTCTAATCTTGTTCATACTGTAGGGCTCTTTCTCTATGCCTTTTCAATCGGCACAAGCACAGGCACCCACTTCCTTTTTTAGCAACCTGGGACAAGCTCAACCAAGTAAGCTCATTTCATAAAAATTGATTGATCATTTTGTTGAGCATTCAAACCTTTTATATTAGTGTACTAACTTGATTATTTCTACCCACTAGTTGGTTCAAGTGGGTTTGCAGGAACTTCAAGCATGTTTGGCCAGAGTAACTTTGGGCAATCGTAAGAGTCATACATTGCTTGGTTATTGGCTCTGTTATTTGCATTTTGTTGAGTTTTAGTTCTCTTATTTGATTTTTTAGTACTATTACTATTACTTTTTGAATTTAATAAGGATGACATTTCTTATGGGCTCTAAATAGGCAATTTGTTCCTTTACAAACTGACATTTTCCAGCATTGGCATGCAAAGCATTGTCCTTCAGCACATTAAAGACCATAGTAAAATGACGAATACGTCCCTTACATCGAGATTTTTGCACTCATGTTTGCCATCGTTTCATGAATTTACTCTGTTACCCGGGTTTAGACCTTTGCCTGGACACTGGGTGTCACAAGGGTCTATCCCTTCAAACGTTGGCAGTTTCTGTACATTCTCCTTGATTCCTTATAGTTCCTTATTTCTTCCAAGTGTTTTTGTGCCATCTTGCCGATCCTTCCCAGGTTGAATTGCTCTGATACCAATGTTTCTAATTTTGTCGCATGGAAATTTCCTTTTCTGGTTCTTGCATGTGATTTGTATGGTGATTTTATCTGTCAGGCATCGACTAATTGACCTGTATTATGATAACTTAGGGCCACATTAATATAAAACATTCAATCTTTTGTGCCTATATATTCATTGCCATGTATCGTTAATTTCCATGCACGTACTTTGCAGGCCTATCACCCAAAGCCCCGCAGTACAACCAGCACCTGCTACAAATCCGTTTGGGACACTCCCTGCAATGCCACAGATGTCAATTAGCAGACCAGGAGTAGCACCTTCGATTCAATATGGAATTTCCAGCATGCCGGTAAATTGAACTTGTCTTTATTTACTGAAGTTTGAGTTGGTTTAGATCAATAGTTTTTATATGGGTGCCTATGTCATTGACATTTGCAAGAATATGATTTGATGCTCTTTTCATTCTTTCCATTAATTGATACTGCTAATGTAGGTTGTTGATAAAGCGGCTCCTGTTAGAATATCAACTTTCTTGACGCCTCGCCACCTATCTAACAGACGGATGAGATTGCCTGTGAGAAAATATAATCCTAAGAATGATGGCAGTCCCAGGGTATGAATGTTTCTTCTATTATAGTTAATCTTTTCCTTTTCTCCTTCCTCACATTCCTATTGGGTTGAGTGGTTACAAAAATGGTGTGCCACTTGAATTTTGTATCTACGGATTGCTTATATCTCCTTGTCATTTATAGGTTCCATTTTTCAGTGATGATGAAGAAACTCCAAGTACACCAAAGGCCGATGCTCTTTTTATTCCCAGAGAGAATCCTAGAGCATTGGTTATTCGTCCAACTGATCAATGGCCTTCAAGAGCCAGTTTAGAGAAAGCATTGCCATCAAAGGATACCTCAGTGCGTGAAAATGGTATGGTTTTTTTGTTTTGCGCCTTCAAATTTTTATGTTTCATCATTGAGAACACTTGAAAAGGGTTCATTTGGTTGGCAATTCAAAATCATGAATTTGAAAACAATATATTTAATGTAAAATAGAGTTGTATTTCATGTTTTCATTGTTTGAGAATATGTTGGGTAATTTGAAAATATTGAGAAGCATGTAAATGTTGTTTTAAAGTTCACTTTTTGTGTCTAGAAATTAACTAAATTCATTTGCAGCGACTTTGATATGAAAAAAATTAAATTGGATACGATAACAAGCAAGTCTATCTATTGGAAGGATTAATTAAGATAGTCTTGAACTTTTTCTTTCTACCTTTTTCGTGAATGATGTTTTTTATATTGTGGAATAGTGTTTTACTTTGAAGATGCTATCTTGCACTGTGATGTCTCTCTCTATTTTTAATTAACATTTTCCTCTATAAACAAGTCTGTGGAGTGGCTTGGTGAAGAACAAAAAAGAAGGAAAAAAAAAGGATGGTCCGAGGAGTGGCTTGTTCATCACATTAACGAAAATGATCCTGAGCTTTGTCATTTGTACTTATTTATTTATTTTTTTTATTAATAGTGCTGATTTGCTGATAGCTAGGTGCCAAGTCAACAGTCCATACTAACGTGGACTTTTTAAACCCATTTTCTTCTATTTATAATCTGGATGTTTTTTACTCTAATCGTAATTTTAGTTTTAAGAGAATTTGATGCTATCTGTTACCTAGCGTGATAGTATAATTATTATTTTTTTTTAAGCTAAGATTGAGTATAATGGCCTGTGGCCCTGTGATCTGAGATTAGATTTTTTAAGTTTTTGTTGTTGAGCAAATCTTAACTTTTAACAGTGAAGATTGCTGACGATACTTCCTCCTCGGCTGTCAACAATTTGAAGGATACCAATGGTTAGCTTTTTACCCTTTGAGTTTAGTATATTTTCAGTTTCTCTGTTCCATTTTGCCTTTCCACACACCTCAAAGAACAAGGTCTTATTTCTTCTTTTGACTTCTGATTGCAATGAAATATTTTGTGGTGGAATCTAGTTATAAAATTGGAGTTTCTAACTTCTTTCAACAGATGAGAAAATAGCTCCATTTTATAGATACCTTTGTGATGTGACTATTGGGTTTTGCTCATAATATTTTTTTTGAATGATGTGGTGGATGAGCCGATATAAATTGGCCATCATCATGGAAGTGCAGTTTGCATCATATAGGAGCTGCATTTTTCATGTTAAAAAATTTCTGTTGTTTTGTTTATTATTGCAGGAAATGTTGTTGAGAATGGTACTTGCAAAGACAACATTCATGTTAACAAAGTAAACCAAAAACCTAACGGGGTCCATGAGGACCACCCTGCTTCAAAGGAAGACTGTTACAGGACATTTGGAGGGTACAGAGCTGGTGAGGCTGCCATTGTTTATGAACATGGGGCAGATATTGAGGCATTAATGCCAAAGCTCCGACATTTAGATTATTATACCGAGCCGAAAATTCAAGAATTAGCTGCCAAAGAAAGGGCCGAACCTGGGTTTTGCCGCCATGTGAAAGATTTTGTGGTTGGTCGTCATGGTTACGGAAGCATCAAATTCTTCGGTGAAACAGATGTGCGAAGGCTGGATCTAGAGTCCATTGTTCAATTTAACAATCGCGAAGTGATTGTGTACCTAGACGAGAGCAAGAAACCCCCTTGCGGGCAAGGTCTGAATAAGCCAGCTGAAGTAACAATACTGAACATCAAATGCATCGACAAGCAAAGCGGGAATCAGTATACGGAAGGGCCGAAAGTAGAGAAATACAAGGAGTTGCTAAGGAAGAAGACGGAGGGTCAAGGTGCGACGTTCATATCCCACGACCCAGTGAAAGGGGAATGGAAGTTCAGGGTTGAACATTTCAGCAGGTATAACATGGAGGAAGTTGAAGATTGGGAATGAGTGTGTTCATGGTTGCCTGGTCTGTACTTTAGGGATTTTGTGTTGAATGAATGGTTTGAAATGTGTGTAAAGAAGTATGTATAAGTAAGGAAGGAAGAGGTAAGTTTTGTTTTTAGGAGTCTGTATTGGGCATTCAAGGTTTTGGTTGGTTTCTATTCTAATTCAGTGTCAGTGTTATATGTTTAATGGATTTATTACTGAATATTGATGTAAGCTTACAGATTGTTCATTCAATATTTTCAATTAGATAGATACTTAGGTCCCCAAAATGTCTCTACATTTTATATGCTATTCCTATGCTTTCTTATTTCTTTGTTTTTCTATTTCTTGTCTCTCTTTTTTCAGAAATGTATGATAATTGTTAAGTATTTATAATTGCTCCAACTCTTATAAGTGAGAATATGATTGGAGTTTATAATCAAAATAATTGTGAATATGAACTAAATAAGAGTGGTGTAATATGTCTTTAGGACAACTTACCACAATCTCCACTTCTCTTTTCATCCCTTTTCAAGATGGGTTATATATTCTGGATATAGTAGTTTCTCAAGTTATCTACTTATGTAGCCTTTCGTCCCCTCTTAAGCTATTATTCTACACACGTTCATACTGCTATTATTCTACACACGTTCACGCTGCTAACGGTCATAAGTTCTCATAACTTTTCTTGGGTGCAGTGAAGATTTACTAGATTTTTAGGATGTCTAAGTGGTTTAAATCTCATCTCGCGTTTCTAGATCGTTTGGGGATAGCTCCTTGGGGGGCTAAACCAATCATCTTGGTGCGCTTAAGTTTAAATCTTTGATTGCCGCTCATGATCCTAGGGTGCTTGATCTACTAGAAACGTAATAACCTTGGTCAACATGAAAACCGCTCTAGCTTTGGTGCACTATTCTTAACTTGTCTCACTCATGCATGCTTGGTTAAGAAGATATTCCTATGAATCACCTAAAGCACGAGAAACATGATCTATTTATATGAACATACTTTTTAGGGAGATATTCATATCCATCCCCTAAAGTACATAAATCATAATATAATCATTCATACAAACTCAACGGGGTGATAACATCGATCAAACTCCCAGAATACAGCTCACAATATCCAATCTTCCCGTCTTACCCATTGGAAAACATTCAAATAGACTACAATTTGAATTCTCATCCTAGGGTAATTTAGTAATTAAGTTCCCCAGGTTGGAGCGTTTGATCATTTTAGGATGCCCTAAGATGAAGACGTTTTCGTGTGGAGTTGTAGTGTTGCCCAGATTGGGTAGAATTTGGATTGATGTGAGAAAATTTGGAGTGGCGGTGGCCGGTGGTGTGAATGAAACTATCCGGGACTTCTGGAGACAAATGGTAATTGTTTCATCCCAATTTAAATCTAATGTTTTAGCTCATGATTTTTTTTTTGTTTTGTTTGTTTTATGGCCTCTTGAATTGATTTAAGGGTTTCGAACGAATCCTTTCGATTTTATAGAGCATTTTTGTTCGCAAAATTTGAGTTTGATTGCATTTTTTATCTTCAAATTCAAGTTTAATAGTGTTATAGTGCATGAAATTTAGTAGCCTTTTGATTATGAAGTTTAAGTTTGATATCATTTTAGTCCGTGAAATTTGAAATTGATAGCATTTTGATCCTGATGTTTAAGTTTGATAACAGTTTCGTCCATGAACTTTGAGATTGATAGCATTTAGGTCCATAATTTTGAGTTCATTTTCATCCTTGCAACATTTAAATATTATTTGAGTTTGATAGAGCTTTAGCATAGTAGGACTCTTATTCAAAATAATATTTTTATTTTTGAAAATATAAATATAATTTTTTTTTGTTCGTTATTCTCTTTTATCCATCTTTTTTTCTTCTTTCTCCTTTCATCTGTCTCCCTCCTCTTGATCGTTGCTTGCCTCTATTCACTAATATTGTCGTCCGTTGTAGTCTGCTATTTGTCCCCGTTGAATTGTTTAGATCTAAGAGTAACCATATATGAAGACAAACCACGAGTAGCAATCAGATAAGTTAATTCAAATTCATTAGATTTGATATAAAATTGACTTATAATTTTGACAATCCAAAAATAGGTGAATACATGTGTAATTTAAGGGTACAGTTACTTTAAATACTATAAACACTAGCTTTTATATTTATTTTAATGCATGCTATAAATTTTATTAAATTATGTGTAATAAATTTTACTTCAACCGAAAAAAATAGTTATAAAACACGTGTTTATTAATTCTTAAAAAACAAAAAATAAGAACGAGATACAAGAAGTATGAATGTTATTAACATCTTGTTTGGCAACATTTTTATTTCTGATTAATTTATGTTTCTTGGTATTCTTTTTTTAAATTTTTTAGGTATCGAATGATGACGATGATTCTGAAATGAATTATGAATATGGAGATACTTCATTTATTAAAGGTAAAGTTCCTATCAATTAAATTAGGCTCCATAAACTGACACCGAGTCATTTCAACATACTTCTCCTCACTCATAACTTTTTTAAGAAAATTTTGAAGAGGTCATTCAACATAGTACGATCCTAAGCCAAATATACTTAATTTTGGAATGCGCATTTGGTTGGTACAAGTAATAACTGAAGATATTCCTCTACTAAGATGTCACATATCTATTAAGTTTTGCTTTGATTTGTTCAAAAAAAAAAAAAAAGTTTCCCTCGAAGATCTTCGATGATGCTAATGCTCAAGATTCAGATCCAGATTCAAATTATGGATTCCACATTTAATAGATTTAACATTTTTTTTAGGTGACTTTACCGTATTATGACTTTATCGTATTACCTTATTTGTGTTGAATTAGTTTTAAGAATGAAAATAACATAAACCTTTTAGGTTATTACTTAAACATAATCTTTGTTAAGGATTGTTGGGAGGGAGTCCCACATTCGGTAATAGTTTAGAGAATGATCATGAGTTTATAAGTGAGGAATACTATCTGTATTGGTATAAGACTTTTTGGGAAGCCTAAAGCAATGTGCAATTTTTAAGGGCCTAAATCGACAAAACCAAGTAAGTAGCACCTTGGAACTTCAAATTAAGATAAGCTTGTAGTATATATGGAAGCATGTTATTAACGTTTAGAACCGAAATGAGCGGATTTGTTTGATAACAAGCATGTTAAACGATTAGAATGCTTGATTTTTACAAAAATAATGCAATAAACTCAAAATTGAACGAAATTGAAAGCATGAATGGATATCCCATGTTCACCTTACTATACTATGTCTCTTATGATCATTTGTTCGTGCATGTATGATTATGCTATTGTATAGGACGATTATGCTATTGTACATGGACGATTAAGGGTTCGCTAATAACCCCTAATCATGAATCCGACTAGATTGTCGGCGGTCTATGCAATATTTTATATATTTTATTACGTTATGAAAGCTAGTTACTAAGTATTTCATACTATTATAATTCTTTTCAGATGAGGCCTAAATGGAACGGTCGAGGTAAGGCGCACACGAGCTATGGGGCTATATGGATCAAACTAGATCATTGTCTTATATTTTTCCAACTTTATGTATTTATGAACTGAAAGTTTTATATCCATGTTTTGTTGTTTGTCTATTGTGTAAATTGTCTTTGTCTTGTTTTAAACGATTAAATGTATTTGTTTGTCTTAAATTAATTGTTCAATTTTATATTTATTAAATGCACGCACATTTTTAAAGTTTTAAATTATCGTGTATTTTCAAATATTTCACGACCTTAGGTGATAGCATCTAACTCAAGTCCATCAAAAAATGGTTTGCTGTAGTTATGAACTCTTTTCAACAAAGATTTGTATTTTGATGCTCATGGGTCTTTGTAGTTAAAATAAAGATAATGGTTATGTCACAGCTCAAAATTTGAATCTCGAAATAAAGGGTTGGATCAACAAACTATGCAATGAAATCATGTAAAACCAGATGGAGAAGACAAAATTACAAAAAAAAAAAAAAAAAAAAAA